CCATGGAAGTGACCTTGGGCATCAATGACCTTGGGCAATGGCTTGCCTCTTTGTACCTCCTCTGTCAAATGTGGATAAGAATAAGATTGTGAGAGTTGAATGCAAGATGTAAAGCACTTTAAAGAGTGAAGCGTATTCAGTTAGTATTCAATAAAGCCAGAGATCACAGATAAGCAGCCCACCAGCCAGTAGGTGAATGTGTGGCAGCAAGTTTAATGGCGCATTGGTGGGGGGAGGCCTACTGCATCCTTGGACTCACTTCCACTCTTTGTTGTCTCGTAAGGGCTGAGTATCCATTGCCAATACCCTATTGTCTATTTTAAAAAGAAATAACTCTCTGTATTCAGGGGTTTTTTAAATCAGAATTAGAGATACAAAAATGATAAATGCAGTGAATCTGATATATATTTTTAAAGGAGGCGAAGCAGATACCATTCCTAAGTGTTAATTATGAAAATACCCAGAATAACTCATTTATGTGAACTTCTGGCCACTAGAGTTATCTAAATTTGCTCCTCCCGAATTCTGAGCCATGGGGGGTGAATAATAACACAGCTCTCTGAGTATTAAGAAAAAGAAATTATCCTATATTCTTAGAGAATATGTTCTCTATATTCTTAGAGAATCTCAGGATTAGAGTGGGACCAAAAATAAATCAGAAGCACTCAACGCTCACTTGAGAAGCCTATTCCTCTCCAATCTGCACCTATAGTGAGAAGAAAGCAGCAAACTAAAATTAAGAAAGGATGAATGTAAAGATCCAAACTTGGATTTATAAAAGAAAAAAAATCACTTGCACAAGAATAGAAGGAAGACACTTGAGTTTGAAAAGTCCCTCAGTAAAAAATAGGAACTTAATCTCAAAATCTTTAAAAGTGACTCAGGAGATTTCAGGTAATTGACAGGTTTGTGTGTCCTCACATTCCATAGTATTTTTATTTTGTGACTATAAAAGCAGTACCAAACTGTCCCACAGGAGATCACAGAGGCTTTCTCTTCTTCCTGATCCCACTCAGAACAACTTGGGAAAGTAATGTCTTTTCACCCTCATTGGAGCATCTATAGGGCAGCACCATATACATAGGGCATATAGTGGGTGATTTTCTCTGCCTGGACCAGCTACAAGTGCAGAGAGAGTAACCGTCAGTGCTTAGGTTTCTCATCAATACTCCCAGGGAAAAATAGACTTTTTAAATTTTCTGTTCCCTGCCTTATTTATATACATTCTTAAACATATTGGGCATCACTCAGTGAATATGATTATAGGATCTGGCCACAAAGATCCCCAAATATAACATCTTAAGTGATGTAAGAGTGAAACTCATCACCAAGAGCTTTTGCTAAAGGCTTCTCTGTATGCAGTCCAACACTGGACCTCAGACAAGAAGGGAAGCATCTTATCCCTGAGATCTAAGGAGTTCTAATTCTGACAGCCCAGCAACAGATAAATAAACCTTAAATACATGCTGAGTCAATAAGGAGCAAAGCATTTAATATCATGCATAAACTAAAGACAACAAAAACTTATTTAGGTGGTAGTTCAAATTCAGTTAACACTTTTGATCTCTTACCAGGGATAGGACAACAGATTGTGAGCTCCCCAAAGACAAGCACGTACTGGGTTGGTATATGAACATTTAGGGAGTGAATGGCAATATATTTGGCACTTTCATCCATATTACCACATTTCATCTCCACTTTGTGGATGATAGAACTGGGTCTCAGAACACATGAAGGGCTTATTGCCCAAAGTCACAATAGTGACAACAGTCCTGCCCTCTTATTCAGCTCCCTGGCCATCCTGGCTGTCAGGGCATGGCCACCAGGGAAGGTGACTGAGGTAGGACTGCAGTTGTGTTGGCAGGCAGGACAGCTGTCTCCACACATCCCCTAGTCGGCGAAGCAAGGCTTGGTGAAGAGTTCCAATCCTAGTTGCTTCGGGGATGACAGCAAGAGAGACTGGCCAATAAGGACAGTATCCCATGCTCAGGTGCAGAGGCAGGAAAGGGGCTACACAGAGAAACTCAGTAGGAAGGAAACCAGCAGAGAGAAAGTAAAATAGTTCAAGATGCCCTGCAGGGAGAGCACAGGGAAGAGGTTTTAAGAAAGCTAAAGAAAAAAACCATAGTGCCAAAGCTGCAGATAGAGAATTCATCCCTTAAGAAGGGCAATGAGGGAACCCTCAGACTGCATCAAGGAAGCCATCCTTCTTTCAGCCAGCACAGTGTTCTGTGCTTGAATGAGGTGTCTCTACAGATGACCACAGTGCCCATTGCTTTCTGTTGTGCAGATCCAATAGCTTTACTCCTTTACGACACCTGCCTGTTCACTGAGAGTATCTAAATTTATGATTCTTGAAGTCTTCTCAAAGATCACAACCCTTTGGAGGGAACAAGAAGTAGAGGCAGCATGCATCAGATCCTTCAGATCCTGCTGCCTGATTTCCTTGGGTCTCACTTTGATTTAATTTATTCCTTGAGTGTATGAACACCACACTGCTTACAACTGCTTCTCTTAACCTAGCTCATAATTATGCAACTACAATGTTTGCTAGAATAAATCTTCCTTCCATATCCAAACCACACCTTTTTCCCAAATTGGGTAAATGTGAAATGACAGGATGATGTGAGCAGTCTGTGTGCCTGCATAGGCCTCTTTCTTTTTTTTTTTTAATGAAAAAGTCTTTAGAATAAAATGTTAATTGTAAATTTCAAGAAAAGAAAAAAATTCCAGTGAGTACCTATTTGGCCAAACTATCTTTTCTCTGAATACCAGATATCTAATATGAACTTGAAATGTTTAGGAGCATTTTGTAATAAAGGAGTGTGTGTATAAGTCATGCATTATTACTCTTGGTATACTTAAGTTACATGTTTGCATCAATGCCTTATTCCCTGCTCAAAGCAAGCACTATTTTCTTATCTAGCATTTATACAGGCAGAATCATGTAAGGAAAATAAGAAAATTTAAGACACCTCCGCAGCTTGAACTAAATCTATAGGAAACTAACTGCTATAGGTGAGGGCAGGGTAACTATGGCTTCATGTGTGGAAGTAAGAGATGGTTGGGGCCATAGACTCAGGATTGGTTGACATGCTTAGAGCAGACCTTTTGTTACCTCTAAGAAAAGGCTAGCTCTGGGCCTTTCCATGGCCAGCAAGCTTCTTATGATGTCAAAACATCATAAAATATAGAAAATTCAAGACATGATTAATTTATCTACTCATTCAGTCTTGCCACCACCTACTCTAGTTCTATGAGTTCTGATGTATATTTTTAACAAGTCTTTCAATGTTGAGTGACTAAGAATTTCTTCAAATTCTGTGCACTGAATCCATTAGCCTGGGGGAGAAAATAAGTGGAAAATAAGCTCTTAGTAGATGGAGTCTGTGCTACCTCCAGGCCAGAACTTCAGAACTCAAGCAGGGCTCAGACAGAATCCGGAGAGGCTCTCTCAGGCACAACACAAACCTCCTGAGACTACAGAAGGCAAATATATTTGAGCACATCCCCTACTCAGAAAGTACAAAAATCGCCTTCCAGACCCTCCCTCAGCATCTGAGATAGTTCAGAGGGGCCATTGGCAATTCCAGGCCAGCTTTTTTTAGAAAAAAATTAGCTTGACAAGGGTCATTTAATTTAATGAAGAATAACTGAGCACCTATTTTTTGTTCCAAGGTATCAAAAACAATGGCAAAACAGTAAGGTCCAGGTCCTTCCTAATCTCCAGCCAGAGCTAGAGCCAGAGCTCTTGTCTGAGCCAGTGCTCATCAGACGGATCTTTTCTGCAGTCCTTTGCATCTACCTGCCTGTCAAGCAGGCAGAGACGGATCTTTTCTGTAGTCCACTGCATTTAGCTCCCTGCCAGAGCCACTAAGATCTGGAAAATGGGCAATGTTCACATAAAAACTAAACCCTTTTTAGCATTAAACATGTGCACTTTCACGGGACACACACACACACACATGCCACACGAGCTTGCTCTGTATATGGCCATCTCCAGATATAGTGGCCATTTCTTGTGATGAGAATCTCAGAGCCAAAAGTACCCACTTTGAAGATGGACAGACGTAGGTTCAAAGTCCCACTCTACCACGTTCAGTTATGAGGTTAGAGGCAAATTCTATTTCTCAGTTTCCTCATCTGAACAATGAGTGTAGAATCACCCACCTCCAAGAGTTGTAGGGAGAATCAAATGCAAGTGTGTATAGAAGGCCTATCACACATTATGTGCTCAACAAATAGTAGAGGTTATTGTTATTCTGTGAGGAAAGATGGAAAGAGCTTAACATTTGTTGATTGCATATTTGCCATGTTTAGAGCTTCTGCGTGTATCATCTCATTTTATATACATATACACACAACTGTGAAGTAACTGTCAAGACTTCTTTCTTTAAGTTAAAATCACAACTATCATAAAAATAAAATGAACAAGAAATAAATTAAATAAATAAATAATAATAAATTAGTCAAATATTTTATTTAATTTATTAATTAATGGGAAAACTAGTAAGGTATCACAACTAATTCAAAAAGAATTTAAAAAAAACATACAGATGTAGGATATCAAGAATACTGAAATGAATTAGAAGTAGATTAAAATTGCTTGGTATCCACACAACTATCAGTTGCATTCCCCTGGACAAAACTTATTTGACTCTTTATGTTCAAGAATCATTTGCATTACTATATTTTTTCTATAATTTCAGAGTTGTAAAATAGCTCAAAGACAATAAAATGGGTAGGCCCCTGGTAGAAGAAGATAATCTTTACGGGTTATTAGACACCTTTTTTGTTTTTGTTCATTTCAAAATTTTTGTATTATATTTTCTGACAGAACCATTATTATTCCCATTTGCAGTTGAGAAAACAAATCATAGTGACTATGTAATTTGTCTACAGTCACAAAAAGTGTAAACAGAAGGGTCTAGATTTAAACTCACCTTTCATCACTCCAAAATTAGAATGGCTCTGGGATTTCTTTTTCTTTTATTTTTCAGGGGATGAACAATCAATATATCCGTCGGGAAGTCTTCTGCTGTGAAACATGTCACGAACTCAAAAGCTTCTGGGAAAAAGAAATTAGCAAACAGACTTGTTACAGGGAACTGGAGGAAGACCGTCAGGGAAGGAGCGCCCTGAGAAAGTATGTGGATTATTTCTCTACTATTTTTTAAATTAGATTTCTATAGAAATACACCAGATTGTGAATATGAGAGACTGAGTTCTATTCATTATTACTGTTCTAAGAATGCAAATGTTCAGTATGGTATGGTAATGTCAGTGCAGCCATGAGAATAAAGGAAAACAAGACTTGGATGAAGATTATATTCACAGGTATCAGAGAAAGGGTCACCACATACTATTTAGGGCCACAGGGGAAGCAAAAGACAGAAGCATGGGGAACATCTAAGCCAGAGTTTTTATTGGAGTTCCTGAGCAAAAGGCAAGGCAGAGCAAACAGTTTAGCACTGTCTAGTTTGAGTAATTCCAGAGGGCTCTGGCTATAGATGTGCTCTCTAGTTGTATGGAACCTAGCCCTGGGGTGATTTGGGGCAGGGAAAATATGGCTTCACCATGTGGAAGTTAGAGGTGATTGGGGCCATAGACTTAGGATTGGTTGACATGCTCACAGCAGGCCTTTGTTACCTCTAAGAAAAGGCTAGCTCTGGGCCTTTCCATGGCCAGCAAGGTTCTTACGATGTCAAAACATCATAGCATATAGAAAACTCAAGACATGATTAATTCATCTACTCATTTAGTCTTGTCACCACATTTACCAGGGTTTCCAAATCTAGCATTATTGCCATTTAGGGCCAGATAATGCTTTGGGGTCAGGGGGCTATCCTGTGCTTTGTAAGATGTTTATCAACATCCCTCAAAACATTACATTCCAGTAGGACTCCCATTCCCATTGTAACAACAAAAAATATTTCCTGATGTTACCAAATATCCCCTCAAGGGCAAAGCCACCTCTGATTGAGAACCAGTGACTCATAAATAAGGTTGAGCCTTTTTTGTATATAAACAAAAATGAAGTTCTATTATTTATATCTTGATAAACTGAAAAAAATCTTTCCCCCACCTTGCCTCTGTTGTAATCCCCAGCACATGAGGTACACTAAATTTAAGTCAACAGAACAGAACTATGAGAGATCTCACATTTGGGAAGATACATATTAATATTCTTGGGGGAAGGGAAAGATGGTATTCCCCTCTTTGGCAAGTAAACTTGTTGTTCTAGCCAAAGGAACCTGTGGAGAGGAGAACATATCCTTATGTGAGAAGACATGTGTCACATGTGTCAACATCACTTTGAAAAAAAGAGCCAGCACCTGCTCTCACATGTGCAGAGCCTTGGAGCAGACAGATCAACTCAACTTTTCAGAGACTATCTGGGTTCTCTGTCCCTAAAATGTGAACAGCTCAGTCAAGTCGTCTATTTTGCTAAGACACCCACTCACAAGTGGAGTGGCAGCTAAATATTCTGCTGGCCAGCGAGGCACTATGTCTCCATGTTTCTGAACATGCTAAGCTGAAAACATGTGTAGTTCACATGTGTTGAACCAACATCAACTTCTAAAAATCTTGATTAACGCCTGAGGGGAAATAACTTCTCTCCTAGCCAAAGAAGAGCTCTGCCACCATTCCAGCTACATTCCTATTTATCCAGCAAGCAAAATCAGGCTTTTCTAGATGCTAGAAGAGTCACACACTAGAGCATCCAGTCCTGGAGATTCCAGGAGAGTGAGGAAAATCAGTTGTGTGGTTCATGCCATCTTCTGCCCCCAAGTCCTGGCCCACAAACCAGGGAGCCAGATCCCATCATGAACCCTATACCGCATCTTCCCGTCCAGAACCCTCAAGGTATGGGATTAAAAGCATAATTTGTGATATCATTTTATTTTTGCCAAAATACATACACAGTCTACCTGTATATACAAGAAAAACATTAAAAGAAAATATGCTGATACTGAGTGATTAGTTTTGATTGGCAGAATGGCAGCTTTTGTGTGTATGAGCTCTCCTAGCTTCTCCAAAGGTTCTACAACGATACTGTGCCATTTCTAATTAGGCAAAATGAAGTTATAAAAAAGGCAACTGATTGCAAATGGTCCATAGAACAAATGAATTTACAAATAATTAAACAATTTTGTTTAAAATGTTAAAATACATGTTTAAACAAATCATTCTCCAGATTCCCATGTGCCTCAGAAATGACCCCCCTTCCAAGTGGGTGCAGTTTTCTCTCCCCTCTATAACCAAGAGAATAAATCTTCAAAATGTGCTCATCATGAAACATTTCATCATTGTGTCCCACAAATAAATGTTAAAGAATTGGACAGAGGCTCTGCATTGAAAATCTTAAGGCGTGAGGAAGTAGAGGCAGCTTCCTATGGTTTGTTTGCTCCTCTGTTGTGGAGTCTCATTAACCAGAGCTATTTCCCTTGTCAGCTGTGAAAAAAAGACCCAAAACCTAGTGGTTTTGTTATTATTTTTGTTAAATATCTCAGATTTATTTTCATACCAAGAGCAGAACATTGGAATATTTGTTTAAATCCTGCTGATCTGAGAAAATAGTTTGAAACAGAGTAAGAGTGTACCTTCCAACATACACTTGCAGACCAGCGAATATCATAAACCCTGAAGTCCCTATCCTGTCCCTGTGGCCTTTATCTCCCATACTCCACTATACATAAGTACACTGGACACACATACATAATACTCAGGCTCTTTTTTGATTCTACTCTCCACTTATAAAGGCAAATTCAAGCCTCTGAACAATACAGAAATATTCAGAGTGAACACTAAAAGACAAAAACCCTAAAAGTTCCCACCAACACCTTTGCTGATAGAACAAAATCAATATTGCTTTATGTTCTTCTCGGCAGATCTGACTAGCAAGACTTGTGGCAAAGCAGGGTAGAGTGGAAACAGGTGTTTCACCATGGACATGCTTGTTAGCACACTCTCCTGCAGGTTCACTGACAGAGGAATTCAGCCAGAGCTGCAGAGAATCAATTTATCCTGGCAACTGGTGCGTCTAGCAGAGGCCTTGGAGGCGAGATCATGAGGCGAGATGAGGGACCTCAGAACTGGAAAGCCCCTTACTCTCTCTGACAATGGCCAGAAAGAAGCAACACAACAGGAATACGGGTGGTCCACAGAGAAATTGAAAACTGTTTGCAAATAACTGATGGAGACAATCTGAGGAAAATCAAATGCAGTGTAGGTACTAGGACTAAACCTCCTGGTTTGTTGGGGCAGTCCAGGTGTACGTCTATCATTTTGTTACAGTTATGGATCATAATTTCCCTTTTTATTTTAAAAGTATCTCCATTTAGGGGCACGTGGGTGGCTCAGTCAGTTAAGCATCTGACTCTTGATTTCTGCTCGTCATGATCTCACAGTTCATGAGTTCGAGTCCCTCATCGGGCCTGTACTGAAAGTGTGCAGCCTGCTTGGGATTCTCTCTCTCTCCCTCTCTATCTTCCCTTTCAGCACTCTCTCTCTCTCTCTCAAAATAAATAAACTTTAAAAGTGGGGTGCCTGGGTGGCTCAGTTGGTTAAGCATCTGACTTCGGCTCAGGTCATGATCTCAGGGTTCACGGATTTGAGCCCCACATCAGGCTTTGTGCCGACAGCAAGGAGGCTGTTTTGGATTTTCTGTCTCCCTCTCTCTTTCCCTCCCCTTCTCATTCTCTCTCTCTCTCTCAAATAAGTAAATAAACAAATAAAATAAATGTTAAAAAAACTTAAAAAAAAAGTACTTCAGTTTAGATGATAAATTATATGGACACCTAAGTCTAAATGATCAGCCTGTAATTATAACTGAGAAGTTAAGGAGAGTCATCAGAAGGTGATATAGGTCCAACTTCCAGGAAAGAGAAAGGGAAGGAAGTGGATGCTCCCCACAGCAGCAACTCTGAGCGGTGCATTTTTACACCCATCATACCCAAGAAAAGTTAAAGCCCCTTTAATTAATGAATGTATCCACATTATATTAAAAAGTCCATTGAGTTCCATGAAATACACAGACTGCAGTCCTTATTAGTGAGCTTTAAAAGATCTCAGTGACAAGTCATGTACATTTGGAGGAAGATTCAGTTATAGAAACTTTCAGAGATGCTTATAACAAGACAGCAGTTTGGTTACAAATTAAGATGCATACTTAACAAGTATAATGGAAAATATAGCTTATGAAAATTACAATAGGTGATATCAACAGGTCATATAAGTTCAATAAATCATCACTTCTTTTTTTTTTATTTTAAAGTTTATTTATTTATTTTGAGAGAAAGAGCACAAGCAGGGTAGGGGCAGAGTGAGAGGGAGAAAGAAGATCTCAAGCAGGCTCCTCACTGTCAGCACAGAGCCACGGACCCACGAACTGGTAAATCACGACCTGAGCTGAAATCAAGAGTCACCGACCCTTAACCAACTGAGCCACGCAGGCACCCCAGAAAATCATCACTTCTTAGATAAACCATGCAAGGACCTCTGAGGCAGTTGCCTGCTTATGAGAGAGAAGCCATTCTATGTTTTATCTCATCTTTCAAAGAAGCAAACTGTATTTTTATGTCCATTACCTTAATTTAATCTAAGGTAGAGTGAGGGTAGGTCTTATTATTATTCTCCATAACCCTCACTCTTCTCTCAATATTTCAGCTTTCGATCTTTGGTTGCTAATGTAGCTAAGCAACAACTACACCTAACAACAGGATGACACTCCAGATTCTTTCCATTCTTTCCTGGGCCCATAAGTGAGCAGAGTTTTAAGTGAGAACTTTCCAGAAGCCAACTTAGTAATAGGTGCCTGGAGCCTTCAAAATATTTATACCCTCTAAATTACTGGTCTCCAGGAATCCCTCTGAGGAAAATAGGTATATGAAAAGAGTAATAAGTATTATCATTACTCATTTTAGGGTTATTTGTAAGAGTGAAAAAATTAAGATTGAATCCAACTTTTTAAAATTCTTTATTATATAGTCTGATCTTCCTGCGTTAAGCATGCATTACTTTGCATTAGCATTGTTATGAAATGAATTGTGTACCTTCACACATTCAGAGTGTGACTGTATTTTGAGATAAGGACTTTAAAGAGGTGACTTGGTTAAAATGAGACCTTTAGCGTGGGCCCTAATCCAATCTGACTGATGTCCTTTAAAAAAGAGGAGATTAGGATGCCCAAAGGGATACCAGGTATGCACACACACCAGAGAAAAGGTCACATGAGAGTGAAGCAAGAAGGCTATCTGCAAGCAAAGGAGAGAGGCTTTGGGAGAAACCAAATCTACTGACACCTTGATCTTGGACTTCCAGCCTCCAAAGTTGGGACCAAATAAATTTCTGTTGTTGAAGACCCCCATTCTGTAGCATTTTGTTATGGCAACTCTATCAAACTAATGAAAGCATTTACCCAATCTTTTCATTGTGGTTGTTTTTATTCTTATGAAACTAACACAAGCACATTTTTTTTTTAATTCAAGCATCACAAAAGAATATATAGTTAGAAGGGAGTTCCTTCTTACTTGGGCTCCTAGACTTGCTGTCTAGGGAAAGCTGACATCAACAGTTTCTTGTATATCTTTCCCAAAAACTTCAAAATGAATAATCAAATAAATATGTGTGCTATATTTTTATGCAAGATGAGACTATACTTCTGCACCTTGCTTTTTTAAATTACTTGGAAGTTTTTCAATATCAGCACATTCAGTTCTTCTTTAATGTTTTCCATTACAATGATGTTAACAATTAATTTAACCAATCACATCAAAGAACACTTAGGTTGTTTTTTGTTTTCTGGCTTCACAAACAATGTTGTAATAAGAATACTTGCACATACATTTTTGCATACATGGACAAAAATTATGGGATATGTTCATAAAAATTAAAAAGTCAAAAGATGAGTTGGTTTTTTTTGGTTTTTTTGGTTTTTAAAATTTTGATAGCTCTTGATTTCTTGTCTTGCAGAGAAGTTGTATTCATTTAAACTCCCACCCTGAGTATGGGAGTGCCAGGTGGAAAGATTGCTCACGCTGTGTATTGTCAAACTCTTAATCACTATTAATCTGATGGGTGAAAATAGCATCTCACTGTTTTAAACTGAATTTAATTAATTATAAGTTTGGTTGAGATCTTTTTATATGTATAGGAAACAACTGGATTTCTTCTTCTGGTACAGCCAATTTATATCCTCTGCCCATCTTACTGTAGATTTTTTCTTAATTGATTTATAAGCACCATGCACTTCTTTTCATGTATGTACAGTTCTATGAGTTTTGACAGGTGCTTAGAGTCATATAATTACCACAATCAAGATATGACATGGTTCTGTCACTCTGAAAAATCCCCTCATGCTGTTCCTTTATGGTCATTTCCTCTGCCAGCTTCCAGCCCCTGGCAACCACTGATGTGTTCTCCATCCCTATGATTTTGCTTTTTCCAGAGTGTAATAAATGAAAAATATAGTATGTATTCTTTTCAGTCTGACGTTTTTCACTCAGCAAAATGTATTTGGGATTAATTCTTGTTTTGTGTGTGTCAGCTGACTATTCCTTATCATTCTGTTATATGGATGTATCACAGTTTGGTGATCCACTCCCACTTGAAGGACATTTAGGTTACTTATGGTTTTTGATGATTTGAATGAAACTGCTGTAAACATTGACATACAGATTTCTGTGGAACACAAGTTTCCATTCTCTCGAGTCAGTACCCAAGACTGAGATTGCTGGGTCATATGGTAAATGCCAAACTATTTTCCCAAATTACTGTTCTATTTGGCATTTCCACAGCAATGTAAGAGACTTTCAGTTACTCAGCATCCTGACCAACACTTTATCTGCATTTAGTTGTAAGGGTTTTTTTTAATTTTGTTGGAGTTTTTTTGATGGAGTGGGTTGAGGGGGGACATTGTTTATTTGTTTTCCTTTGTGTGTGTGTGGTCATTCTATGAGGTTAGTGATAACTTATTGTGTTTTAATTTGCATTTTCCTAATTATGTTAAGCATTACTTTTATGTGCTTATTTGCCATCCATACAACTTCTTTGGTAAAATATCTGTTCAAATTTTTTACCCACTACATTATTTTCTTATCATTCAGTTTGAACTTTATATATTCTAGAAACAAGTCCCTTAACAGATATGTGATTTGCAAATATTTTCTCCATTTATGGTTTGCCTTTTATTCTCTTTACAGTATCATTCATAGAGCAAATTTTTAATTTTGATACCCCCAAATATTCTTTTTTCTATGAATCATGCTTTTTGTGTTGTATCTAAGAATTTTTTTTCCCTAATCCAAGGGAAATAATGAATATGTTATTTTGTGGGGTTATCTTCTAGAAGCCTTAGCTGACAGCAGGATTCTTGCATAGAAACTAGTGACACCTTTCTGGCCTTTCTTCCCAGGAAGCAACTTTATTCATGCCAACATGGTCTCAGTTGGGTTCCTACTAGAAAAATTGAGCCTCGAATGCCACCTAGTGTAGCCTTTTATTAATTTTCTACTTCTTTGTCTCCCATATATGGGTAATGTAAAGACATAATCTGATTGGCTGGTCTCATGTTACAGAGTCATGAGGGATATCACATACACATATAGCCAGGTTGCCTTCCCTTATCTAGAGGTCTTTTCATACAACATTTCTTAGGGAGGGGACTCTACCACATTGTCTTACATTTTATATTTAGGTCTGTGATCCATTTTGAGTTCATTTTGTATAAGATGTGGAGTATAGACTAAAGTCCATTTTTTGAATATAAACGTATGATGCTCCAGCATGATTTGTTTTAAAAAAAATATCCTCTCTCCATTGAGCTGCTTTTGCCTCTTGTCAAGAATCAATTGGCTGTATTTGCACATACTTATTTCTAGATTCTATTCTGTTCCACTGATTTATTTGCTCTTTCATCAGTGCCATACTGTCTTGCCATACTTGTCACAGAATCAAGTAATGTGAGTCCTCCAGCTTTCTTCTTCAAAATTGTTTTGGCTAATCTACTTCTTTTGCCTTGACATATAAAGTTTATCAATATCTACCAAAAGGTCCTTCTGGGATTTTGTTTGACATTATATTGAATCAATTTAGGAAGGAATAAATTATAAAAGCACATATTCATAGACTTTGCTCATTTATCTATTGATTTCTTCATTAATTTGTAAAAGCCATGTGTTTCTCAAAAATATTTGTTAGAAGGAAAAACAAAAGACTTCAATTGGACCATCAGATGTGGAGGTAAAAGCAGTAAGCATTTGTATTTTTCCTCTCCTCAGGCTCAGAGAAGAATGGAAGCAGAGACTGGAGAAAAGGCTACAGATGCTGGACAATCCTGATGAGAAGAAAAAGCAGACAAATACGGTGGGCTGAGAGCCTCCTGCTTCATCCACTTCAAAGATAACAAGCCACCAAGGGCACTCTTCTAGGAGAAAAATCTAACACCCAAGTTATGTTGATTTACTAAGCAGGACACTCTCTATTTGCTTTCCAATTTGTAAGGGATTTACATGTGAAAACTCCCCCCAGTGCTAATGGGAGTCATTATCCAACTCAATCCTCTCTGCCATGGACAGGGTGACCGCCAGTGGGACAGGGAAGCTCAGGTTATTTAATATAAAAAGCTCTTAGAATTAGCACTCCCCGGGTTTCAATGATCCATGTAGTGTAATTTATTTCCACATTTTCTTTTCATTTTGAAATCTGAATGTTTGATCTATCTTACCAAAGGCGATGATCTGGATGGGAATTTGGCTTCCCTGGGTCTTCTAGAAAAACAGAGTCAATCTTTTCTTCCTGTCACTGCTTTTTGCGAATATAGCTATTATTATGAAAATAACTGGTAAACAATACAGTTTGAAAATGAACTGAACTAATTATTTTTCCTTTCTCTTCATATGAATTCTTTTCTCATAAACATCTTTAACTAGAAACATGCAATGAAAATAAAATAATGCTTAATAAACGTGGTTGCCCTCTCTGGTATGTGCCCTGTGTTAACTCCCTCATGCCTGTCTTGTTTAGCTCTCTGGTGCTAGAGCAGCTCTGCTGGCCCCAGATACATTCTGGAATTTACAGTCACCCTCACTGTAGCTCCTTCTCAGTTACAGAGCATAACCACAAGGTGGGAGAGGTTCTATCTGTCACAGTAGCTAGGGCTCTTCTGCCCATGGTTCCTCTCTAGGGGACAGAGAGAGGAGTCCTGAGCACCAAGGAATGCACATGGCCAGAGAGACCCTGGGAAGATAATCTGAGACAATGCTGGGGAAGGCATCCATCCCTCATAAATGCCATATAGTAGCATAAACTGCTTTCCTTGGAAAACTAAAAGGGCTTCTCACAGCTAAGAGAGCCATGGAGTGGCAAGAGGGTTGGAGAGGTGAGTTCACATCCCCATAGTTATAAGATCCAGGCCCCTGCTACAGGTTCTTCTCCAATTTGGGTATAAAATATAAGCAGTAAACTACAGCTGGGAAAAATCTGAGCAAAGTTTGGAAAAAGAGGTTAATAATAAAATACAATTTTAGTAAGGACAGAGAACTATGGGAATACATAAGGGGTTCAGGTATGGGAATACATATTTCCCTGAACATAGGCGGGTTCAGGGAAAGCCCACTGGGAAACTGCTATTTAAGCTGAGACCTATAAAGTGAGTAAAAGTCCATCTGCGAAAAGAAAAAGGGTCAAATGTCCTGGACTGAGGAGAATGGCATATGTGAAGAGCCAAGAGGAGCATTGAACTGCAGAGCAGAGGGGACTAGGAATTCACAGGGAAGTAAAGAACTGGGAAATGTGTGTCTGTGACACAGACTGAAGAGGGAACTGTTTTATAGGAGGGTGGAAAGATGAGCAGTGGCCTCTAGAGCCCAGGCTAAAGATTCCCAATTCTAGGGGCACCTGGGTGGCTCAGTCGGTTGAGCATCTGACCTTGGCTCAGGTCATGCATGATCTTGCAGTTCGTGGGTTCGCGCCCCGCATCGGGCTCTGCACTGACAGCTTAGAGCCTGGAGCCTGCTTCGGGTTCTGTGTCTCCCTCTCTCTCTGCTCCTCCTCTGCTCATATTCTGTCTCTCTTTCAAAAATAAATAAATATTAAAAGAAAAAAAAAGATTCTCAGTTCTGGATTGAACCATTGACACAGGTTTTAAGGTAGAAGAATGAAATAATTAGACTTATATTTTTAAGTTTTTCGAATTTTGTAATTCACATACACATATATATATACTTTCATATAAGTGCATAAATGATTATACCATACATGTTGGTAGGCTTTTATTAACTGTTTCTCCTTTGTTTTCACCATCTTAACTTGCCCCCCTCCCTTTTTCTGCACTCCCTACCATCTGCCACCCCTGTACCCTGTAACCCATGTTAATAGCCTGGTTTGAGTCCTCCTGTATTTTCTCCATGTTCACATGGCTGTATACAGAGACACACATTCACAATTACATTTACTTACACATTCACACAGACATACACATACACATACACACACATACTCACACACACTCTATATCTAAAGGGCATTGTGTGAATGTGTTTGTGTAGTAACGTTTTACAAAATAAGATCACTTTTCTGCATCTTGCTTTCCTCACTCAACCATTCCTCATATAAATGCTTCTAGGTGGGGCACCTGTGTGGCTCAGTCTGTTGAGTGTCTGATTCTTGGTATCGGCTCAGGTCAGGATCTCAAGTTTCCTGGGATATGACCCTGCCTTGAGCTCTGCACTGATAGTGCAGAACCTACTTGGGATTCTCTCTCTCTCCCTCTCTTTCTGTCCCTACCCACCCCCTCTCTCTCACTCAAAACAAATAAGTAAAACATTAAAAACAAATTTTTTTTAAATAAAGATAAATCAATACATAAAATAAATGCTTCTAGGTCAATTTAGCTCCAATTCATATTTTTCATGGGATCATATTATACCCTGATGTGGATGTTCCATAATAAAGTCAACAATTCTTTTAGAGATGGACAGTCACATAATTTTCAGGTTTTTATCATTCAAACAATGAAGCAGCAAATATTCTTATTCAAAAGTCCTTTATTCTAGTGGCTTTATGCTAGAAAATAGATATATTCCCAGGAATGGGAAATGAGAACAAACAGTATTGCAGTTCCTACTTATAAAATGCTTTCCAGACAGGCTGGCAAAATTCCCATCTGAACAAGCAGTCAATAAGAGTTCACCCTTCTCCCCATATCACTGCCAGGAATAAGTGTCATAGCTGCTCTTTGTATTTTCTGATCTGAGGGATGACGTCACTTGATTTCTTTGGCCACTAGTGTTGGGGTTTTCTTTTCACTTGTTTGTTTATTAATTTCCTCATCTGTGAATTATTTAGTCAGACTTAATTTTTCTAAGGTTTGCCTTTCTAAGTCTATAACTATACATTATAAAACCTGACCCATGAATTATCATTTGCATTAGTAGTCTAGAAGGCAGGGATGGCTTGCTTAAACATCCATTATCAAGTCTGAAAACCTCGAAGCTATAAGGAAAAAGTAGACATATTTGTCTACATAAAAATGAAAACCTTATATGTGGTGAAACATACTCTAAGCAGTGGTTTTGGCAGATCTGCAAGTTTAAATGATCAATTGACTGCAATTGGGAAAACAGATTAAAGGAGAAGTGGCAGGAAGTGAATTAAGAGATTGTTTCCAATGTCTACATGGCCAAGAACAGGTTTGAGCAGATAGAGTGGACAGGTCATGCCAGTTAACTGAATGTAGGGGAGCAAGGAATGGAGACTATAAAAATATAAATGTTAACTTATTTTAACTAACATTTAATTAACATGGGTTAAGTAAAAAGAATATGAGCTTAGAGAGAGCACAGCTGGATCTGTCACCCCTGGAGACCTACCTCCTCGGAACAAGGGTGAAATCCCTGAGCTATGCTTTCCTTAACTATAGTAATGGGCATACTATCCCCCATTTCTCACAGTGGTTGGGATTAAATGAGCAGATGTAAAAGCCTGTAGAGCAGGACCTGGTACAAGGCAAGACCTTATGTACCTCACCTCTCTTCCTCGTCCTATATCTTCCTGGCTCTCACTAGGCTGGGCTCACAGAAAATTGCCGGAGTCCAGCTCCAGCAGGTCCAGGGGTCCCTGAAGGATGAATGGCATCGGCGAGAATAACAAATGGACACAAACAACAGCAGTGTGTTAGACTGGTGACTTTATTGTGGCAAGCGTGGCATTATATGTGTTAGCAATTTCCTTGTAGAGTGCGTCATCTGTTTCTCGGCTTTACCTAATTCTAAAAATGTTCCTTTGTGTAATCACCCATTAAAGAACTTCATGCTTATTTCTTTGTAACGTTTCCTCCTGCTTTTTTGTTTATTGATTAATTTCTTCATACTACTTTCATTATGTATCTACGTTTATTTGTAGTTTATAAAGCATTTGCTTTGCTGTTTTCACGAAAGGTCATCTAACTCTCAACACCTCAAGTGGAACATTTACAGGGACATGACTTCTTAATTGTTCCTTTGAACCATTTGCGGTACAAGGAACAAAAGTATTCGCTTTGGTCTGGGGTGCCAGGAGAGAGCCAAGAGGGCCCTGGGAATCCACGCCCTATGTGCTCCCAGAGAGACAAGGTATACCTAGGAACTAATGAACCATTCCGTAACTTAACACACCAGATCCAGTTATCATTAGGAATGCCTCCTGGGGGCCAAGTGGGCCTAGGGGCTGGAGTAACTTGTATCCATGGATACATTCCTTTGTTGCTAGAGTGGGGATTTCGAACCCTTTTGTTCCCCTCCTTGGCTGGGAAATATATGGGCTATCTTTCCTTTAGGTAGAGGATGGGCAGGTAGGCGTGGCACCAGCTGGATATAAGGTTTCTTTTTTGTCCTGAGTAACAGAAGGGATACCAGTAGCTTCCCATTCGGAGGGTCGCTGTGCGTTGCCCTTCTGCCAACCACCTGGGCTGTCACATCAGGAAGGCTGAATGGATGGTGGTTCATGTGGGGCAGTAGTAACCAAGCCTGCTTGCTGGTCAGAGTCACTTTTTTGAATTTATAGATCCCTGGGTTCCACTCCCAGAGATTCTTTTTTTTTTTTTTTAATGTTTATTTATTTTTGAGAGAGAGACAGAGCATGAGTGGGGGACAGACAGAGACAGAGAGGGAGACACAGAATCCAAAACAGTCTCCGGGCTCTGAGCAGTCAGGCTCCAAGCCCTGAGCTGCCAGCACAGAGCCCGACGCAGGGCTTAAACTCCGGAACGGTGAGTTCATGACCTGAGCTGAAGTTGGACGCCCAACTGACTGAGCCACCCAGGTGCACCTCCACTCCCAGAGATTCTAATTCTGTTGGTCTGGTGTGGTACTCTGGAAATTTTGTATTTTTATCAAGCTTTCCAGGAGATCGCGATAATTAGCCAGACTGGGAAACAGCCTTCCCAAAGGGCATAGGATCTAGTGGAAAAGACAAACGGTTAAAACCAAGCCAGTCACCAGGCTGTACATTAAATCACCAGAACTTAGTCATCCTGCACAA